GCAGATCATCTTCTTCAAATTCAGATGCCCTAAGGTTCTGAAATTCAGATAACCAAATCTTCTTTGCCACAACTCATTTTCCTTCACAACGTTTATTGCACTAAGACATTCAGAGTCTGCAGTTCTTACATTCACCTTGAATGTTCTATTCCTTCCCTGTTCTGACTCCATAACCAGCTTCTGATTACATTGATACAGCTTTAGAAAATTGTCTTTCATGGTAACTGAAAAACTTTTCTCAATTAGTTGCCTCACACTCGTTAGATTTCTTTTCATGCTAGGTACATACCACACTTTCTAAATCAATGTTGTTTTCCCATTGTTCAGAACGACTCTAACATTTCCCATACCTTCAGTGTTGAGGTATTTATCATTAGCACATCTGATCTTTATCCTCTTACCAGAGTCAAAATCAACCAGTCATTTCTTATTTCCAGTAAGATGATTTGAGCAGCCAATGCCCATATACCACCAGTTTGTCAAATTCGTATCATCAGATTCATAAGCCATTAGTAGCACAGATTCATCATCAGAACTTCTGGCTGTATTTTCTTATTCTAACTTCCTTTCCTTGTTTGACCAGTAATCAGCAGCAAAATGGCCAAAGTTTTTACAACAGTAGCAATAGATCTTCTTCTTGTCATACCTCTCTTTTTCCTTCTGAGCATTCTTCTGCCTATCAGAAGTTGAGGTTTCTGACTTCTGAACACCATCAGATCTTCTTCTGGCTTCTGACTAAGACTGTTTCTGATGCTTCTTACCAAAAATTGTTTTTAGAGCTTGCTGCTCTACTTCCCTTTAAGAAGTTTTCTTAGTCAGGCGCAACTCTTGTGCCTCTAGACTATTTTGCAACTCTTCAATTATCATGGTGCTCAGATCTTTATAATATTCTATTACTACCACAATGTAATCAAACTGAGGGTAAGGGATCTCAATACCTTCTCAATGATTACTTGTTTATAAAGGGTTTCTCCATAAGCTTTCATCTCATTAGTGATCAGAATCACTCTAGAGATGTACTCAGATACCTTCTTATTGTTCTTCATGTTGAAATTCTCATACTGCTTTCGTAGGGACTGAAGCTTCACCTTCTTCATTGATGTGTCACCACCATAGCACCTAACCAGTGTATCCCATACAGCCTTTATTGTCATTGAATCAGTGACTTTTTCAAACACATTTGCATCCACACACTGATGAATGTAGAACAATGATTTCTGATCTTTCTTCCTCGTATCTTTCTGCGTCTTCTTTTGTTTCTCCGTTTCATTTGTGTTGAAAAGTATATTTCCGGCAAATATTTTTAATATCGTATCCATAGAGATTGGTGTTATTACCGCCGTTCTATAATTTCGATTGTTGTAAGTTCAAAGGTATTCAAATTTTTTGTTGATGAATAAATGGTTCTCTTTACTTATAAGAAAAATAAGACAAATAAGAATGGTTTTTAGAATAAAGTTTAGAAGCCTTGTCAAGATTGAGTTTCATTATCTTTGTTATTTATGTATTCTTAATATCACATGCATGCATTCAAACTCCATTGATAATATTCAAGTGTCCTCTCAATACTATTTATGTATAAATAAGATTGTGACAATTATTATATAAATCCTTAGACGATCTCTCCATCTAACTATTGATATAATAATCTTGAATGTTTAACACAAATAGAAAAAATAGTGAATGAATCTATCTCTACAATTTATTCTCTACTTGGAAAAATATTTTAGTTCAAGAATCAAACTACCTTTCTCAACAATAATTTAATTCTAATTTTGTAATGTAAAGAGAAAAAATATTATTCCTTATCAAAGATGAAGTTTGTTACATGCAAAGATACAAATGTTACATAAACAACAAAAGATAACTACTACCTCAATCTTGCCAAGAAATGAATTTAGCTACTCATCATCTTCATTGATTCCATGGAAAATTCTTCAAGAAGTTCTTCTTGCATGAAGCTTCTTCAAATAAAACAAGAAAATCTCTCTCCAATCTTCTTACAAACCTAAGAGATACTAAGACTCTCAAGTGTAATGATTATGTCCAACATGCAAGGAAAAAGTGCCATAAATAGCCTATGGGGCGCCACCCTACAAAAAGTGGTTTTACTTCCAAGACAGGACATGTGTCATTACTATGCATGTGGCTGAAATGCACTCAGTTCGCGGCGCGAGGGGTGGTCGCGGCGCGAACTGTCAAAAACAGAATTGCTTGCTTTGTTGCTTCGCATTGCTTTTGCCGAATTTTGTTCTTCAAGTATTGCTCCAAAGATCTTTTTATGCAATCATTCTTTTCTTGACAAAATTTCTACAAGACTTAAAGAAAAAGTGAAATATCTATTCGATCAAAACAAAAATAACTAAAATTGAATGTTTTACTAAATTGTGATAAAAACTTGTGTGAATTTAATAAGAAATTGGTAAAAAAGGGACCGATAAAATATATAAAAAGTAGTATCAATTGGTCCCTAACAATTTGTTGCTACTGGAACGTAACCTTCAGTGACAAGATCAAGCACATCTTGAGCACTAAACATACACGCATTTGAATCATTCAACGAACCCATTTTTTCCTATCAAACACTAGAAGCTTGGTACTCAGACCACCATTTTCGTTCATCTTCAACCTTGTGCAATCACTCAGATCTCACCAAACACATTGTTTCCCAATCCCGTAGAATCAGAAAATGTGATTCTGTTACGATTCCGTTCAAGATTCAACACAAATTCAAGAAATAAAATCAATCACACAACGTCTCACCATTTCACTCGTGTTTCCCATGTTTCCCCGTGTATCCAAACCGAAGCTCTAGATACCAATTGTTGGTGCACAAGGTTAAAAGAGATGAATAGAATGAGAGAATATATTTATATTTAGGGATGACACAAAAATCCATACCCGCGGATATCCGCGGATAAAATCCATCATGGATATGGGGCGGATAGCTTAATGGATATCCATGGATAAAATAAATGAATATTTAAATATCCGTTTGTTAATGGATATGGATATGGGTTTAATGATATTCATACCCGCGGATATCCATATCCGTTAATAAATTATAAAAATCATTTAAATATCATTAGTTTATTATACCTCATCTTTTCATCTTTAAAAAAATTAGTCTTCTTATATTTTTTTTTCTTTGAAGAAAATCTTTCACATTTCATTCAAATTTTATTAGTCATTTCATAGTTAAACGATTCAATACTTCATATCTCACTTCAACAATTTCACAGTCCAACCAACTAGTGTCGTCATTCCTCAGTCGAACGAGTATCTCTCTTTCTACTCCATTATCGTCTGTTCTTCTATCGTAACTCACAATCACAATATCTTTTACTTGTTTGGTTAAAAAAGAAATGTATGTATATTATGTTTGTATCTAATTATGTTTTGGTGAATAAGAAGAAAATTAATGTGATGAAATTTTATTGTTAAATTAAGAGCGAATTATATGTATGTTATCTGATAATAAATTGTTGTGTCTTTAAAAAAAGTTAAAAATATATTTTTTTCAAAAAATAAATTTTATAAAAAAAATATTATTCACGGATATCTGTAAATATCTGCGGATATCGTAAAATCTGCGGATTACCTGCTTAACAGATACCCGCATGAATATGAGACATATATAGATATCATATTTATCAAACGGAGCATATACATATATCATAGTATCCGTCCCCATGGATATCCATTTACATCTCTATTTATATTCTACAAATAAGAGCTACAAAGTTGTAAGAAAGAATTACATTAAATAACATCTACCACTAGCCTATTTATACACAAAAAACTATAATCACATAGACAATATACTAAAGTATTAAATTATCCTATAACAAAACTTAATTACTAAATTTTATAAAATATAAATTCCTTCTAACACATCTTTCGGTCATTCTTTGATAATAGTTCAACCTCAATACCAAATACTCGTTAGAGTAGTCTATGAATCCCCAATTGAAAATCATAATCTCTTTCTCGTCGGATTAATCTCACAAATTCTTGTTAGCAAATATATCATCTTACCCGTTGATCAAAAGACGAATTAAGTAAGTCAAATTATTGAAATAATGCCCGTTGATGGTTCTAACAAATTGAATCATCCATTCGGTTCATGTTTTGAAATATTATAAAAAAAACCATCCTCATTAATTAGCAAAAGAAAAACCTAACTTAAAAATAAAAGGAACCAAAAATGAGCAAGTAGAGAAGTGTAATCTGATGGTACTTATTGACCGACTAAACCATAAAAGAAGTCCCAGGCTGTATCTCATGTGGAATAGGTGAAATTTCACATTCACAAAACCACCAAAAGTCCTCAACAGTAATACCCATTTGGACGCTGAAATCAATCTCTACTATAGATATAGATTGCTGATCCATTAAAGGTAAAAAAAAGTGATGAACAAGTTCCATCAATATAATCAAACCAACTTGTGTTCAGTGCAAATTTGTGTTCAGTACAAAAGCAAACCAACTTTTATAATATGTCGGAAGCTGTCCTAAACCACAAAAATGTCTATGATAAAAAGATATTATTATTTGTAGATAATGATATTGTTATTGATCGTTTTTACGTTAAAGAATGAAGTATGATTAATTCAAATTCGACAATTGTAATCAACATTGTGACATTTGTACGGATTGAAATCGCGAGAGCCTTTACGCGACCGCTGCGACCTATTTTTTAAAATGTTGAATTTGTAGTATATTTTGGTTCATAATCTTTTAATATTCCATGCCTTCTTCTCACGCCATAAAGCTCATAAACCCCACAATAACACTCTTTAAAGCCTTCCCATGCATAGTGGCCATGTTCTGTCCCTTCACTTTTTTTCTCACTTTTCTCATCACCCAAACACTCCTTTATATTCTATCATGACATTGCTTTTGTTAGATTTTTTCTTAGAGTTGAAAATATTTTCTTTTCTTCTTTGTCATAAATTCATAAAGAAACTCTATAAGTTGAAACCATTTCAATTTTTTCAATGATCTCTTCGGATCCTCTGCTTTCGATCATTGTAGCATTTTGTACATTGGTTTTCTTCTACTTGCCGCATCTTTTTTCTACAATAGTTTTTTCACCGGTGATTATTCTCACCGGGGTTCTTCTGCTCACAATCCTCCGTCTTGGTGCAATTCAAAAGTTTCATCATGATCAAAAGGAAAATCAACAGAAACATGAAGAAAACAGAGCAGGAAAATGCAAAGAAGAAAAAGAGAAACAGAGTTCAATAATATCTATTAAGCAAGTGCAGAATTCAGAAAATGAGGTGAACTCTGAAATGGGTTTGGAAACAAGTTCGTGTTTTGTGGAATGGAACGTGAGAGCGCCATTGGAGGTGATATATGAAGAGTACGAAGGTGAAGAAAAATGGGATGCTACAAATGAGAGAGAAGAGAATTGCAATATGGGTGTTTCGAGTTATTCTTCGTTGAATCGTTACTTCCCGGAGTCTGATTCGGATAGCTCGTCGGAGAGTGGGTCTCCGACGATAGAGGAATGGGATGAAGAAGCCGGAGAAGGGTTGATTGAGATAGCTTTAGATGGTAGTAAAAGGATGAAGATGAAGATGGATTTGGAGTTTCAGTATGATGAAGAGAATCTGATTGAGATTGATATTTCTCCGACGAGGTACGGGAAACTTCCCGGCGACTCTTACCGGTGAGATTAGGTGCAAGTAATGCTTGTTATTAATTGAAGATTTTTTCACTTTGGTTGTGAAATATTGTTTTGGGTGCATGTGTAATAAATGGTTAAAAATGGAAATTTGAGTTTTTGAGTTTTGGTATTTTATGATAATGTACAAAATCAGAAAATTAGGCTAGTCGTAAAAGGATAATTTAGGCTTTTGTAATTCATGAAATTAGTGTCTACAAGGGTTTGATTGTGGTGTTGTTGAACTAGATTTTGGGATAATGGTGTGAACTCGACGATGATCCAGCAAGTTTAAACTTGCCTTTTCATGATTGTTCATTGATTTGTTTTTCTTAAACAAAAAGAAACCTTTATTGATTAAGATTCAAATTCATTTTCAAAGAGAATACTTTTGGTCCAAAATCTGTTTGGCTCACTAGTAGTTAAATGGTTCAGTGCTTTGGCAGTTTGGTTATACTTGCTATTTGCAAAAGCCTTCTCTTCCTGCCACCCTAAATTATATCTAGCACTCTTATATTTTAATAAATATTCATGTTGCATTTGGGAAAATTGAAGCCAAAAATCCAAATAAAATATCCGGTAGAAGAAATTAAAACATTCAGAATCTATAATATATATATATATATATATATATATATATATATATATATATATATATATATATATATATATATATATATATATATATATATATATATATATATATATATATATATATATATATATATATATATATATATATATATATATATATATATATATATATATATATATATATATATATATATATATATATATATATATATATATATATATATATATATATATATATATATATATATATATATATATATATATATATATATATATATATATATATATATATATATTAAAAATTCGGTGAACCGGGTTTTTTAAAATATCTAAAATGTTTGATTAGGATTGGTTTTTTTTTTTAATATCAGAAGTTATCGGATATTTCGTCCATGATTGAAAAATTCGATATTATAAAAAAGTGAAATTTGAATGGTTGAGATTTGTTGACACTTTTATACGGCTGCGATTGCACCGACCGTTTTATGTCGTTCAGAATGAATTTAAAGTTGTATAAATAAGGGTCATCTGTTGTTGAGAAAAACATCTAAGAATGTCTCTTCCTAAAATTTTTATTAAGGCAGAAGTGCATTTCAACGGGGCAAAACCTCTCGTAGAGTTTCGGCTTTCGAAGGACACTGTCTCTCTCGTCGTCTTGAGATCCACATTAAATGATTTGTTGCCCTATACCGATAACTGAAAAGTTAGAAAGATCGAGTTTCGTGAAGATTGGATTGATACTGATGTATGGGTGAAATACAATCTTATTTAGTTGAAGATCGATGAAATTTTGAAAGGTATGTAGAGATCATATCATTATAGGCTAACTAAGGGAACTATCGAGTTTGATGTGACAGTTTCTAGATCTGTCGACGACATAATCAAGATGTTGAAACGTCCATAATCATTTGGTAGTTTTTATGTTTTCTTATATATTCTTGTTTTCTTAAGTTATGTAATTGTCTGTCTAAATTATGTAATTGTTTGTCAAATGTTAAGTTATGTTCATCAGGCATTAATGGAAGTGCCAAAATATTTTTTAATAAACAGTGTTGTGCAATTGTCTGAGTAATACTTCACATAATATACAAATAATAATAATAATAATAATAATAATAATAATAATAATAATAATAATAATAATAATAATAATGTCTAAATATGCCCCCCACTCCGACGGGTTACGTGTGCTGCCTGCGCTGCTAAACTATAAACCTCGCCATCTAGGTTCACTAAACTCATGAGGTTATCCATAATGACTGCTATCATTTACAATCGGTGAGAGTAATCTGTACCATGTGGAGACAGCGACACATCATCAGAAGGTACACCAACATGAGCATGAGAAGTTTCAACATGAGAAGGTCCAACATCATCTTCATGTTGTCTAGGTGGGATGATGCGAGGGTGTGATACCGTAAGGTACCACTCCAGGTAAGTGTTAAGCCACCAACCCCTCCCATCGTAGATAACCAGAAAAAATATAATGTCATTGAACTCCTCATCGCCTCTATCCATTGTATGGTCTGTGTAGGGTGTTTAGATGACATCATCTATAATCAATGCATTAATCTCCTTCCTATACTCCACAACACCTTCTGGATGTGCATTCCTGCCCCTCTATATCTCTTGGCCAGTGGGGACCCATCAGTGGTAGCAATAGCCTATTGGTCACAAATGGATAAGAAATGCTCGTATTTCAAGCACTGCACAATAACAAATACTCGGATAATAACAAATAATGTTATAAATTTAATTAGGAGTTTTGTTAAAGCCCATAATATTTTTTCCACATGTGCAATCAGATTACTCATACGGCTTATATCTAGGAGTTTTGCATGAAGCTTGTGCACCACTGAAGCATAATAAGTCTCCATCTCAATCCTGTACAAATCCTAACTCTTACCTTCCATTGCGTTAACAATGACTTGGAATTCCACCATCATTGGATTGTAATACCCTTTTTTATAACATGTAGTCGCCGATATTTGATACACAGCTCCATGTTCTATTCCTAACAAATGGTAAGGTTCACATTTGTATTATCTTTATGAAGCTCGATTCGGCTCTCTTTAAGCTCCTATTATGTTTGGAATTATCGTTTGAATAGGACCCCGTGTTCAACAAATGGTTAGGAGGAATTGTCAAGGTTGAAGCTTCTTTTTGATGAATCTTTAAATTATGAATCGTCGAACCATTTGTGATGTATGTATGATCGATCCTCTTCCAACTCTCTTTACGAATCAAGTTATCATTTGATGCTTGCTTACCCATCACATTAGGATTTTCATAAAACTAAATGTACATGATACAATGAAGTATACAGAATATAATGAAGCATGTCACAGTATTGATATCCGCAATTTTGTCATTAAGGAAACTATAGAGAATCAAGTACCAATGATTCTATTAAAATGAGTCATGATATTGTGTCATTTCAAATAAAAGAAGAAAGTGGGAACCAAAGAGAAGTATAATTTGTAACGATTGTCATCCCACATGAACCAAATGGGAACCAAAGAGAAGTATAATTTGTAACGATTGTCATCCCACATGAACCAAATGTTTCTAGCTGAAAACAATGAATGTTATACAATCATCTGTATGAGCTTGATAACAAGTGAAAAAGATAAATTACTTAAGTTGTTAACGAAAAGTGGTGTTTCTATGGGGTGGTTCATTGAAGACTTAAAAGGACTTATTACAACATTATGTAAGCACAAGATCCTTATGGAAGATAAACACAAGTCGGTTGTACAACCCCAAAGTAGATTAGACCATACTATGAAAGAAGTGGTAATAAAAAAAGTGTTGAAGTTACTTGATGCAGGCCTAATATATCCATTCTATGATGACAATCTGTGGGTAAGTCCATTACATGTTATACAAAAGACGGGACGAACAAAAATGATCATGAATAAGAAATATGAACTAATTCTAACTCACATTGTTTCTGGTTGGAGAATTTGTATCGACTAGCGAAAGCTTAACACAACTACTAAAAAGGATTGTTTCCCTTTTCCCTTCATCTAATAGGTGTTAGAAAGATTGGCCAAGGTAATGGAGACATTGGACCTGTGATTTGCAGGTGCCCAATTAACCGCCCTAATTCTATTGATCAACATAACATACTTTACACTTAGCTTCCCACATGGAATTAACCCTTGCTTAGGCCATTTCTGAACATGCCCTGCAATGATTTTTTTGGCTATCTTTTCTAGGAAACTTTTTTAAATCATGTATACTTACTTCTCTTCAAGTGTTCATTAATGACAGATGGTGAGAATCTTACATATTTTCCTCTAGCATACACCTTCTTATACTTTTAACTCCTTTCAATATTGCACTCAGGTGAGATGTTTGCTATAAATTCCATAACTATCATTTTAAAGCAAGGACCAATCTTTGTGACAGTATTCATTAATCTTGTAGCCTTTATCAGGTTTACTAGATCTTTGGAGCCTAAAACTTCTATTTCTGAGCGCTTAAATCGGAATGGAATGACACATTATCTAGAAGAGTAACAATTTTTTTACAAGATTCTTCTTTCCTCCAACTTTCCTTCTGGAAGAGGGCGAGATGTCTTGGACATCTTCTTCAACATTTGAATCTGAATCAGTAGACACCATAAGTTTTCTCTTTGGAGTTTTGTTTTTATTAGCTTTTTATTTTCCTTTCTTCTTAACACGTTCTTCAATCTCTTCGTTTTTAATAATACTTTTCACTATGTTGACAAGGGGAATGTCATCATCCTCACTGCTAATCACTAATTTCTTCTCATTATCTTGATTAGCTACCATACTATTCATTACTACAAATAACATTTTTAACGTCGCACACGAAAGAGTTGTAGCCTAGTGATGTAACGAAGGGTGGCATGAAAAGATGCCACTTAACACCTCGGTTAAAGAATAATTGAGGTGTTAATTTATATGATCATAGGTTAGAACTCCAACATCTTCATTTTTATTATTTACAAAGTTGAATAATGCACCCAACTTATAATCTCGGTTTTGTTTAAAAACCGAGGTAATAGCTCTATTTTATTACGTCCGTTTTTTTTAAAAACTGAGGGGTGAAATTTTTTTGTATATTTTTGTTTGTATCTGAATTACATAACCATGTCACATAATACATAACCATATTTTGTAAATTTCTGAAATAGAAACATTGTACCTGCATTACAGAACCATATCATAGAAGAACAATAGTATACACCAAATGCAAAGCCAAAATTGGACAAACCATATAATTTTACAACAAAACTAAATCAAATGATTAACCAACAAAAAAATTATCAAAATGGAAAGTCTTGTAGGTTGTCCAAAAGTTCTATGCTAAGATTTGTCACCAGTCGTTAAACACCTATAATTTGAGCAACAATTTAAACCAATTAGGATAATCAACAACAACATT